TCTTCTTCTTCTTCTTCTTCTTCTTCTTCTTCTTCTTCTTCTTCTTCTTCTTCTTCTTCCTCTCTCTCTCTCTCTCTCTCTCTCTCTCTCTCTCTCTGCACCCACACACATGCCTATCTATACAGAGAAGCTAGAGGAAGACCTACCACTCTTCACCTTGTTCCCTTGAGACAGGGTCTCTCACCAAACCTGGAGCTAGGCTGGCTGCCAGAAAACCCCAGTGAGCCTCCTACCACCGCCTCCACCATTAAAGGCACATGCGGTAACCCCCAGCTTTTGGGGGAAGTTCACAGGGATTTGAACTTAGGTCCTCATGTTTGTACAACTACCCACTGGACCATCTCCAAGCCCTCTCTGCCAATTTTTTTTTAAACACCCATATGTACACCACTTTGCAGACCATTCATACGCAGGACTCAAAAGAACTGATCTCATTAGAATTCTAATGCCCTTAAGAAACTGTTCTGACAGTTAGTCACTTTTCTAGTTGGGTCTTGTTGCTTTGGAGCCCACAAGGAAGGGTGGGTGGGTGTGGCCATGTATCAGCCATGTGTCTTCCCCATGGTATGTTTTTTAAGAAGGGAATGGCAGGTGCAGGGTGAGACGTGGTGCCAGGGGTGTGGGGCAGAGGAGAGAGAAGAGACAGTGTGGATTATACGCATTTCAAGAAGAGATCCAGAAAGGGAATCAGAGTAACAGAGCGAAGCGGAAGGCAGCATGTTAACCTTCTGATGGGCACATACCACACTGCCCTCTGCAGACGCAAGATCTCATGGATGTGGGGGCTTGTGTGCCTAGTTTTACCCCTCCTCCACGGGCCTGGGAGGAGACTCCTCACCTCTTTAGGCCTGGGCTTTTCAGCTTGCACAGTAAGGATGGCGATGTGTACTCCACCTCTCTCAAGGTTGTTTGAAATTCAAACGGGATAACTGATATTCTCCATAATTGGTAAAAGCCATGAACACGCGTGAGGGTTTCAGGCCAAGTCTCTTCTTCCTTGATATATGTGCTGTGTTTGTTTGTTTGTTTGTTTGTTTGTTTGTTTGTTTGTTTGTTTTGGTTATGGCAGTAGGGGCGGGGTGGTGCGTGAATTAAGCTTCTTCATCTAATCCTAGTCACCAAAATCGTGCTTAAGTTGCGAGCCACTTGGAGAACTATGGGATCTTTATTCCTCACACGTGAGCGCCCTCAACTCAGAATGAGTCCTTGTAACAGCAGCAGCTGCCTTGCCTCTGATGCAATGGTTCTGAACCTGTGGGCCGTGA